GCATGATCATACAGATTACCTTTCTAAGATACTTACGCAGGTGTTATTGTCAGCATTCTGATGCCAATGAAACGTTTCTTCCCATCTGAAAATAACACAGAAGATACTTAAGAAATTTAGGCGAACACTGACAAAAATAACTACTTTGATGGCCAAAAATACCTGTCAATTAAAACAGGATGTATCAGCTTTTAACAAAACTAAATGGAAATCATACACATCTACACTGAGGTCATTTTTTATTTTGGTTAGCCTTGGTGTACAGAATGACAATCTCTCTCCCTGCAAGTGAAGGTAAGAGAGAAGCTCATTTACACTCCATAAGAGTTTTCCATAAGAGTTTTCCTTCAGGAAATTCAGGAAAATTTCTCTGATATAGTGTCACATGACTTCAGTAAATGGAAAATTTCATAACAACCACCATTTCATCTGAAACTTGTCAAGAGAATTTAATCATATGGTGTTCTCATTAAAATGTAGAAATGGGATTTAAAGAAATTAAAATTTCCACCTTTCAGAGAAAGGACAACCAAGAGACTCACACTGATTCTAATGCAAATGGCTTGTTATTTCTACCCCAAAGAATGAAAAGCAAGTTTTAAAAAAACTCATAGAACTTAACCAAAATGATCACAAAAATGATCAGGGGGATGGAACACCTCTCCTATGAAGAAAGGCTGAGAGAGTTGGGATTGTTCAGCCTGGAGAGGAGAAGGCTTCGGGGAGACCTGATTGCAGCCTATCAGTACTTAAAGGGGGCTTATAAAAAAGATGGGGACAAACTTTTTAGCAGGGCCTGTTGCGACAGGACATGGGGGAATGGCTTGAAACTAAAGGGGGGTAGATTGAGACTAGATATAAGGAAGAAATTTTTTACACTGAGGGTGGTGAAATACTGAAATAGAGGCAGTAGATGCCTCATCCCTGGAAACATTCAAGGTCAGGCTGGACGGGGCTCTGAGCAACCTGATCTAGTGGAAGATGTCCCTGCTCATTACAGGGGGGTTGGACTAGATGACCTTTAGTGGTCCCTTCCAACCGAAACTATTCTATGATTAGCCAGGACTCTACAGAATTTTAAATGGTGAAAATTCACTCCTTTAGGAAGAGCACCACATTTCTGTAGTTGGCTTTTAGTAGTCATGATATTGCACAGCTGTCTTATGAAAAAAATACAGTCTGATGACTTCCTGAAGCGAGTGCTTCAGTAGTTAGATATATCCAGTATGAAGCAGTATTTCCCCTTACTTGTTCCAGCATAACTACTTCACAATTTCGTTGAGCTTCTCCATGTTCTCATGTGAGGAAACAGTTTGAAAAGGACATGTACACAGTCTCCTCTAACTCTTATTCTGTCCAAGAAAAATAGTTACAAGTAAAGGAATTAGTCCTGAATCATACACGTCCAATATTCCCATTAGTGTCTGTGAAATGTTGACTGCTAAATGTTGGATTTACTACACTCCGAACAATCATACATCTGTAACTGTCATCCCTACTTTTTCCTAAAATGTTCTGGCTCTCCTCTATTTTAAAGTGAAACTAATGAGATCAAAATCACCTATAGTAAGAGTGTCATGAAGAAGTCCAATTACTCAAAACTGAAGTCTCAAAAACTTTGGGCATGGCCGTGAACTCGTGCACTCATAGTGCTTCTCTAGTCTACATGGCATAAATGTAAGTTTTCACTTTTTAAAAATAACCAAACGTGATAATTCTCCCACCTGAAAATAATCCACCCATCCCTGCAATGTGGACAGTTAAATGATGAAGTTGTCTTCATGAGACACATAGATGACAGACTCTCTGATGACAGTTTACTGTTTGCATTAAACAGTTTGCTGCTGGTCATGGCCTGTGTGATGCAGAAATAGGCAAAGCACAAAGTGTAGTCTGGGGGCTGAGTTAGGAATGTTTACATGAAAGAAAAATGAAAATGAAAGAAGGGACAAAAGAAACTGATCTGGAAGAAACAAAACAGCAAGGAGGAAATTGGGCAAGAATGAAAAACCACAGCAGAAATGCCACTGATCTAAAAGAGAATTATTTCCCCAGTGGCTAATGATACACTTAAAAATAAGGCTTTGGGGGAAAAAAAAAAAAGTATCTGGTAACTACAGACTTAATCACAACTAGTCCATTCCATTCAATTTAACCCAAGTCAAACATCTTGCACAAAACCCAAAGTTTTCATCAACAATGATTAGGGGGAATATAATTGTCCAGTTTATTAGAAGTATCAGCAGAGACTGAACAGGCACAACCAACCAGTTGTAGTGTTTTACCATCCCCAAAGGATAGGCATTTTGACGTCAGGGTTAAGTCACATTGGCAGAACAGTATGTGGCACCTGGAACTACCACTGTCATATTACATCTGCTCTGTGAATAAAAAGTCTCAAAACCTGTCATTCTGGCAATTTGTGCAATCATGAGGCAGAAGAAAAAATAATTAGGAGAACTGGAATAAAATGAGGTCGTAAATCTAAGAAGCACGTCACCAGGGTGAAGTCCCAGCAGTAGTTAAAAGAAGGTTAATATGTTGGAACAATCAGGTTAAACAAATGTGAAACCATCGCGGCTTAAAGCTGGAGCACAGCACAACAGAGAGAGATATTCAAATTGCATTTCATTTTTGTAAATACCAGGCCAGATTAAACACTGATTCCAGTGGTACAAAGTCAAGCAAACCAGCCTTAACCACTAGTTTAAACTTAAGTCCGTTTTGTGTTAATAGAAAGTCACAAGCAGCTGACCCCAAGTATTTAGAAGCAGTTCACTATTTACGGAGATTTCTGTTCCACAGTAAGGAAAGCATTTGCTTTACTGTTAAACTTTTCTTTTTTAATTGATGCTTGTAACAGTAGAGATACAAACCAGACAGATAAATACAGGCTGAAGGCACGAGTGTTTATGAGTTATAAACACTCGTGTTTATATATATATGAGTTTATGTGGCAAAAAGAACTGATAAATCCAAATTAAGGGGTCAGGTACTCAGACTCCTATGGGCATGAGTAACTCTGGCACATGAGTATCCCCGTTGCAGTTGATTTCAGTGGGGCCAGGATATCACCAAGATCTCCGAGTGAAGAAACGAATCCTGCACTTTTTATTCAAGCAGCAGGCAAACCTCCTACTTCTCTGCTCACTCCTTTTGGACTTGGATCGTCTTGCAGATTGCCTGAGCAGTCCTGAAAGCATTTAAGAAAGATACTCCACTGCCAAACAGAAACCATGAAAACAGCTCAAGTCTATAATGCTGAATTATGTGCAGTGTACCTTCCATAAAAACTGTATAGCTGAATTTAATTTAATCAGTAGTCTGAATCTATACTCAGCACACCTCCTAAGCAGCCCTCATGACTATTGGTAATAATTATCGGTAATAATCATACAAATACATAGGTAATCATATAGTTTCAACACAACTAATAAAGTCTGCTGGGGATGTAAATGAGGATTCATATAAATGACTTGTTGGGTGTGGCCAATGCAGAACTGCCCCACTTCTTGCTCATCTGAAACAAGGTTTATTCACTTTTCTGCTAACATTATATGAGAGGCCAGGCTGACCTCTTAGGCTGGATTTTCTCTTTAATATTTTGTCAAATTGCTAACTTACTCTCTTCCATCCTAGAGGATCCATGTCTGAACACTTTCTAGTTTTACTGTTCTGCTCAAGTCTAAACTAGGAATAGATGGCAGAGCCAAGACTGAAACTGAGAAATTCCTATGGGATACTAACAAAAGACTGAAGTAAAAAAATCAGTCAATGCTTAAGTATATAGGTGACTTCTAGAGGTAAAGACAGAACACACAGATGGTTAAAACTGAGATATAGATGGAGACACTTAACTTCATGCACCAGTTTAGGAATTCCTAACTATCAAAGGAGGTTAATATTATTACTGATAAATCCAAAATTAGCAAAGCCTTTCAGACCATTCAACAGATGAATATCTCTATGCAGAGTGTGGTAAATCTTTGGTCAAAAATACATTAGGTATTATTATGTATTACCCATGCATTAGGTAATATAAAAAGTTTAGGTAATAATAATCAGTGGAAATAATTCATTCAAATGCCATCCTCTCCTTCTTTTTTCCCCTCTCTGTTCCTGTACTTCAGTAGATCATATATTTGCAGTTATATACAATGGATGGGACTTAAAAAATATATGCCTTCTATATAAAACTGGTAGTTATCTGATCAACTGAGATTTAAAAGACTCAGGTCAAGCTTATTAAAAAATATACTAAGTATCTCCTATATGCCAGAGTAAATCTGGAAAGAGAGGTTTCCTCAGGGAATTTTATCATCTTCAGGCACTATGATATTTACAGCAAAATGGTAATACCCTTAAACTTATTTCTATGACCTAATTGTATCATAAGGGCGGATCCCACTGAAACTACTGAAACGTAATTGGAGCAAAAGAAAACATGATAAAAACATCCCAAAAATCCTGCTTACATAAATTCCTTATGTCAACAAATAACGCCTATACAACAAACCTGAAAACTATTACTAAAGGCCTAAAAAATGCAAAGTAAGTCTCAAATATGGTAAAAATATCTCCTAGAAATTCTCTTTCTCTATGCATCAAGGGCTTTAAACGACTGTTCTTCTGCCTGCAGCAAAAGTACAAGAGGTACTTCAGACAAGCAAAAGCAAAAAAATTTTTAAAAATTTAAAAAAATTAAAATTGCCTGTGCCCAGGTTATGCCAATCAATGGCAGTCACACTGATGCTAAGAGTAAGTGTGAATCCTTTTCCCTTGATTAGGGGATAATGAGGATGGTGAAAAATAATCACACAGTACATTACAATCACAAGCTAAACTTGAAACTTCTTTTTTTTTTTCTTAGGGTTCCATAGGCCCTCTAGCTGGGCTCACTGGGTTCATCATTCCCTGGAGGCAAAGGTGCCCGAAGGAGCAAGGTGGTTGATTTCAGTGGTGGCATCTCTAGCCTTCACTGACTTTCCAGACCCAGCTACCAGGAACCCCTTGGCAGATGGTGGGCTTTCTGCACAAGGCTTGTGTTCATGCCTCTAGAGCCATGTCTGCAGAGTGAGCCATCACTCCTCCCTGTTTTGAGTTGAGCAGTTTGGTTCTGAAGGGTAACATTGCTAATGATACAGACCTGCTTCTCTCAGAAGCCAACAAACAGTTAGTAACCTGGATGAATAAATAGTTTTTTTGACTTGTTGGCTGAAACAAAATTATGTCAGCTACTTTGAAATGTACTTTTCAGCACATAATTAACTTTTTTCATCAACTCCCCCCCCCACCTCAATCAACAAGTGAAAATAATCTTATTTGGGGAATTCAGCAAAACACAGATGAAGGGACCCATCAGAATTGTGACGGTCTCAAACATACAAGGCAATGCATAACTTTAAAACCTCTGACTAAGGGAAGTTTCTGCAATAACGGTATTTGAGGGAACACCAAGAGGACAATGGTGTCGGGAAACAACCCTGGCATCAGCAACTGGATGAACTCAGTAGAAGACAAGATTAATATCAAAAAGATTCAAGAGAAGCAGCAGCCAACAGTCATGATAAAAGATGAGTAGGGTGTGGACAGATAAATTGGCAAGCAAAAGAGAAAGGAAGGTTTGGCCTGGATGAAGCATCACTAGATCAGCTTTGGCTGTGCAGCACATAGTATGACACCTAGTACAGTGCGACAGATACTGTCTAGGCAGTATCTGCAGGCACATAAAAAAAGTCCAGAGTACTGCAGTTGTCAGTTGCTGGTATATTTAGATTTATGTGCTCTTTGTTGCAGAGGCCTTTCTTTTTTTCTGCCTCTCCCCCCCTTCCCCATGTATTTCTTCAGGAATTAGTACACAAGCCTTCTTCCACCGGGGTCTGAGTGTCTATCAAAATATCCAATTATACAGCACTGACATAGATGACCATGGCAAAATAAAGATCATCATCATCATCATGGCAAAATACATCATCAGTGTAGCACACACTACACTCCATCCATGGATAGGTGTTTTTAAAAGTTTTTACCTTGTTCTTCACAGTACACCTTAATCTCCTTCTTGCTTGGACAATATGTGAAAAAGGAGGATCAGACTCCTTGAACAAGTCACCATCTGTTCTCAAGATCATTTGAGAGTGTACTGACTCATCCGTGTCCTCACTATCCTCAGAGGCCCTTTTTCCCAGATTTATACAGATACTGTCTACTCTTTGGGGGTTTGAGTAATAAAATGTCTGTCCCACTTCTGTGAAGTTGTTTTCTATTTCCAAGTCCGTGGTGTTCTATACTGTAAAATAATGCTGCTCCTTTCAGTAACAGCATCCCAGACCCGTGTCTTTTGGCACTTCACCGACAGATCAGGATAATAATTGGAAGATGTCACTGTTTCTTGCCGACCTTACCTTTACTTTGTTTGTCATGCGACTCTGTGAGAAACTGAGTGATGCGGTCTGAAGGAATAGCAAAAGAAATTCCAGCTGTGACCTTCAAGGTGTTAATCCCAATCACTTCACCATCCTGTTGAGAGACAGCACCCAATTAATTTGCTCTTAAGTGACAGGGTTCAGCTCACTGCCTAGCATTTCATATTAAAAGCTGGTGTAAGAAAGTTTAGAGTGTTGTAATCACTCAAGAAATAAACATTACTTCTAAGGGAGGATCTGGGCTCTGATTCACAATCCCTCTCACATTTAACTATGATGGCCAGAGAGATTACCGTACAGGTTGTTCATCCAAGGTCCATCCCACCACTCAGCAAGAGATTCCCTCTGCTGAGTGAGCAGTGGAGTCACTACTACCACTACAGCCACAATTCACCGACCTGCAAAATCACTGCTGGTTTAAAGAAATCTATTTTAAAATCAGTTGTGCGGATTAACCAGGTCCCATCTTCGCCCTGCATCCCAGGTTTTATAGTGTTGTCATGGTTTAACCTCAGTGGGCAACTGAGCACCACACAGCCGCTCACCCATTCCCCCCCCACCCCAGTGGGATGGGGGAGAGAATTGGAAGAGTAGAAGGGAGAGAAACTCATGGGTTAAGATAAAAACAGTTTAATAATTGAAATATAATAATAATAATAATAATACACAAAGCAAGTGATGCACAGTGCAATTGCTCACCACCCACCAACCGAT